TATTTACTTATTTTGAGGCAGGATCTTTCTGTGTAGCCCTGGGTAGCCTGGAACTCACTTTGTAGATCAGGCTGGACTTGAACTCTTAGAGATCTATCTGCCTCTGCCTCCTGAATACAGGGATTAAAGGCGTGTGGCACCACACCTGGCCCTCCTTTTCTTTCTTGGCAAGCATTCCACCACTGAGCAACACCCCTGCCTTGTGCTTCTTTTCTTTCCAAAATTTGGTTTTGATTTTCACAAACAAAAACAAAACAACAAAACAAACTATAGGAGGTGGCCTAGTATTTATTATTTTTGTATTTTTGACATTGGATCTCTCTGTGTTGCCCAGGCTGGCTTCATTTGTGTTGCCAACAAAAATCACCTTTAAAGCTAGGTGTGGTGGTACACACCTTTAATCCCAGCACTCAGGAGGCAGAGACAGATGGATCTCTGTAAGACTGAGGCCAGCCTGGTCTATATAATGAGTTCCAGGCCAGTTGGGGCTACAGAGAGATCCAAAACCAAAACCAGAACAAAAAATAGCATTGAAGTAAAACTCGGTGGGTAGTCTTTGAGAGAAATTCTACCCATAGTGCTCGGGAGAAGGCCACATCTTTATTTTACAAATGAAGAAAGCAGGATGGAGCTTCAGGTTGATCCCAAACATGGAGCAGCAAGGATTTCTTGTGCTTTCACTCTCTTTACACAGTCTGTGGTTTGCCACGCATTTGCCTTGAACGGTGTTTCAGACCCGAACCAGCGACTGTGCATTGGGGGCGATTACAGCAGGTTCTCTCTTAGTTCCTGGACTTGGCATTGTAGCCTTCTCCTGCTCCTCCACTCCTTCCTCACCTTCACTCAACCCACCACCAGGCCAGGCCCACCCTCTGGCTGAGCTGTTCATAGCTCTGACTTCCTGTTTTCCTCCACTGTTGCTTCCTCAGGTCAGGTCAATTGCTGTGTCTTCACTACTGTTCTCTCCATGTTTGTTATGGTTTTGCTGTGGATAGATAAGGTAGACTCCAGCTGCGAGCCCCTTTTTGTAATAGGAAATGATTACATTTCCATCATGGTGTTGTGTTTTATGTACACAGGTTTCTATCACCTACTATATTGGTCAGAAACTACCAAACAGCCTACTTTATCTCTCCAGGTTTGCTTCCCATTAAGTCGGTAGACACAAGTGGTCTCCAGTCAAAATGAACTGCTATTGTTCATTAAACACACACCACAGCTTTCTGACTTCGAGTTGCCCATTTCTTCACATATTCTTCGGTGCCCGTTGGCCTGATTCTGTTTGCTTGCCATAATATGATCCTCCCTGATAATTGTTTTAGAAAGCAAACGGCTGATATATATGAATAGCCTTAAGCATTATCCTGTCCTAGGCCAGAGATCAGCCAAGCTGTTCTTGGTTGGATTCTTTCATATGGTTGGGGATTGGCTAGATGTGGACTGATCTTGGACGGCTTCAGCTGGGACAGCTAGGCTATTGTCCACATGGTCTTTTCTCTCTCTCTCTCTCTCTCTCTCTCTCTCTCTCTCTCTCTCTCTGTGCTTAGACCTGCTAACCTGCTCACAGGATTCTGAGAAAGAGGAAGCATGCAAGGTTTTATGACGCCCAAGTTTGAACTCAGTTTACCATCCCTTACATTCCATTGGTCAGTGC